ACTGAGTCAGTGTTTGTTTCTAAAGATTTGAACTGAGTCAGTGTTTGGTTCTACAGCTTTAAACTGAGTCAGTGTTTGGTTCTAAAGATTTGAATTGAGTCAATTCATGTTCTACAGCGTCAAACTGAGTCAGTGTTTGGTTCTACAGCTTCAAACTGAGTCAGTGTTTGGTTCTAAAGATTTAAACTGAGTCAATGCATGTTCTACAGCTTTAAACAGAGTCAGTGTTTGGTTCTAAAGATTTGAACTGAGTCAGTGTTTGTTTCTAAAGATTTGAACTGAGTCAGTGTTTGTTTCTAAAGATTTGAACTGAGTCAGTGTTTGGGTCTAAAGATTTGAACTGAGTCAGTGTTTGGTTCTAAAGATTTAAACTGAGTCCGTGTTTGTTTCTAAAGATTTGAACTGAGTCATTGTTTGGTTCTAAAGATTTGAACTGAGTCAGTGTTTGGTTCTAAAGATTTAAACTGAGTCAGTGTTTGTTTCTAAAGATTTAAACTGAGTCAGTGTTTGGTTCTAAAGATTTGAACTGAGTCAGTGTTTGGTTCTAAAGATTTAAACTGAGTCAGTGTTTGGTTCTAAAGATTTGAACTGAGTCAGTGTTTGGTTCTAAACATTTAAACTGAGTCAGTGTTTGGTTCTAAAGATTTAAACTGAGTCAGTGTTTGGTTCTAAAGATTTGAACTGAGTCAGTGTTTGGTTCTAAAGATTTGAACTGAGTCAGTGTTTGGTTCTAAAGATTTAAACTGAGTCAGTGTGTGGTTCTAAAGATTTGAACTGAGTCAATTCATGTTCTACAGCGTCAAACTGAGTCAGTGTTTGGTTCTAAAGATTAAACTGAGTCAGTGTTTGGTTCTAAAGATTAAACTGAGTCAGTGTTTGGTTCTACAGCTTTAAACTGAGTCAGTGTTTGGTTCTAAAGATTTGAATTGAGTCAATTCATGTTCTACAGCTTCAAACTGAGTCAGTGTTTGGTTCTAAAGATTAAACTGAGTCAGCGTTTGGTTTTAAAGATTTAAACTGAGTCAGTGTTTGTTTCTAAAGATTTAAACTGAGTCAGTGTTTGTTTCTAAAGATTTAAACTGAGTCAGTGTTTGGTTCTAAAGATTTGAACTGAGTCAGTGTTTGTTTCTAAAGATTTAAACTGAGTCAGTAATTAAGCCTTAACGGGGCCTGCAGATTGTGCCAACAGGGCAGAGAGCTGCAGCAATTAGCAGCGGCAGTAGAGGTGGTATTCTCATCATCATCAGAGCTGATGTGGGCAAACAGATGATGAGTCTTAATTAATACACAAGCCATCAACACTCTGTGCTTCCTTGTGTTACAAGCAAACGGGAGGGTGAAAGCAATCAGAGCTGGCCTGTAACGAGCGTTTGTGTGACTCACGTGCAGGCTGGGGTGGTAGGTGAGCAGGCCGTTATCACACAGAGTCACGTACTTCTTCTTCCACTCCTTGTTGAGGGATTTACCGCTTCTTTTCATCAGCATGCCCTGCAGGAAACAGAACACATGCTTGAAACAAATGATTACTCTTTCCTTTTATTAGATCAGGTCTTTGTTACTGGAGACAAACGTTCACTGAAGGAAGTTCAAGGTGCAGATTCAGGTGCTGGTTCCCTGCTCAAACCAGACCATAGTTCCCAAGAACCTCGTTGCCAACAGGCTCTGTATTAAACTCCATATTTTGGGTTTTTATCTTTGGCAGAATCAGATTATTGCAGAATATAGATTATAACTTGACATTTACTGAAGCTAAAAAAGTTCAGTCTGGATTTTACTGAACAATTTTAAATGTTCACCAGCGTGATTCTTATCCGACGACGACCCCTCGTTTGTGTTTCAGCTCTGCACACTGACTCTCCACATCTCCACTCCTGGTATCTGCGGCTAAATGACCACCAGAGTCTGTGGAGTGAAGATAACGAGCTCACAGCTGGAGGACGGAGCAGACTGCAGCTCGCCTCCAATCAAAACAACATTTTATGGTCAGAAAGTTGCAGCAGAGCTAAACGGGAGGAAATGTGAAGAAATCAGCACTTATTTAATTGTGTGAATCTTTACTTCTGTCTCCTACGCACATCAGGCGCGGCCGAGTGAGCATATAGGCCCGGCGCTGCCGCCTACTCCTCATCTGAGCGCCACTCGTTAGGTACGAGGAGCGGAGACGGAAGGTCAAACAGGAGGCGGCGGCGGGGGATAAAACTGTCCGCTGATTAGCAATTACAGCCGCGCTGCCACGCGTGTCACTTCACCGGACCGCCACCACATTAACACTCCGACTCTGGGTATTAATAGAGTCCAGCCGTGAGGGGGGAGAGGGGGGAGGAGGGGTGATGGACAGGAGCCTGCTCTTCACCGCCCCAAACGCTCAGCTTTCATTAAGGCGGTGGGTGGTGTTGGGACAGAGCGGCAGGCCCGGGGTGACCCCCGCCGCTGCTGACGGCACCGTGAGAGTAATTGGCAGCGACAGAACGCCACGAAGAAATACGTCGGCGTGACACCGAGAGACGGGAGGCAGGCGGCGGCAAAAAACACGTCTTAACCCACCGGACAAGCCCTGACAAAATAAAAGCCTGAATTAGTCTCATATGCTCTTATTTTCTTAAGTTCAGCTGCTGTTGGAACAACGGGACCAGGTGAGCTCATGTCAGCTCAGCCGAGTGGTCGTTACGGCCCGATTGTAAAGCGCCGGACGAGAACGGACCGGACCGGACCGGACGAGAACGGACCGGACGAGCCCAGACGCTGGGATTTTATCAAACTCAGGAGCAAGTTGATCAAAAATCCTAAATCAACCACAAACCTGTCAGTTGAAGTGATATTTCTGCTGATCTCATGCTGCTGATCTCATGTTGCTGATCTCATGCTGCTGATCTCATGTTGCTGATCTCATGCTGCTGATCTCATGCTGCTGATCTCATGCTGCTGATCTCATGCTGCTGATCTCATGTTGTTGAGCTCATGCTGCTGTGTTCATTCGTGCTCATCTGCTCAGACTCATGTTCGTGCTGCTGTTGCTCGGAGTATTGTTTGTTTTTATTGTTTTCTTAGTTTACATCTAAGATCTTTATTTACTGTTTCTTTTACAATTTATATTCTTCATGTTGTTGGAAGTCACTGGGAGTAAACCACTTTGTTCCACCTCATGCACCACATGCAAATGACAATAAAGAGCCTTGATTCCTTGAACAATAAGAAAATACAGTAAACTTATAGTAAATCTAATGTTCTGATAATTTAAGAAACGGGTTGAGGAGATGAGGAGGGTTTAATGAAAATTATAATCCAGAGTTAAGTTTCTTAGTGTTTCCAGGTTCAAATCTTTTCATCTTTTGAAAACAAACATTTCACATCAGGAGTGGTCACTGAACAAAGACGGGATGAGATAAAATCTACAAACGTTTTCCTACATGAGGATCCTAGAGGAGGACTGAAGTAAACCATCAGTTCTTCCTACATGAGGATCCTAGAGGAGAAATGAAGTAAACCATCAGTTCTTCCTACATGAGGATCCTAGAGGAGGAC